TCCTGTTCCAAAACTAAAATGTGTTTTGAAATCTAAATCTACCTTCTGCTGAGCTGCAAACTTAAATGCTCAAAATATTTTATTCAGGCTGTGTTTTATAAATAGATCATTTAAAGCTCTGGCTAGATCTAAAAAAAAAATTCATAGGTTCTGCTACTGTCCAAGGTAACCCCTCTGCTAAAAGAAGTCATCCTCATCCTATGAAGGTGCTTCTACACAGAACTTCCACTGAAACACAATACAATTCATAATTCACATGGTTAGGTATTTATAGATTTGTAGCATTGATTAATGTGAGATATAGGCAAGTAAGTTTAGTCTTTGTTCTGAAGTTCACCTAATCTGATTTTGAAAGTGTGAACAGAAAGCCCAAGATAAAACTTAAAGCTTGCATTTTTAGAGTTGCCTAGTAGTTGTTTTGGCTACAGCCCAAACCTAACATTTAACAATAGGTTAATTATGACTATAGGATGTAGTCCTAACATTACGATCAGGCAATCAAGACTTAAAACTTTTAAAAGTATTTCTGCAGTATAGCTAGTTTAACTACTTACCCCAGATAACTTTGCCTCCTTGAGTCACGAGGCCAAGCTCGCTCACGTTCACCTCAATGACAGTACCCTTGGTAATTACACCCAGTGTTGTATATAAAGGAGAAGAAGGATTCTTTTTCACACCAAGGATAGGTAGACAAAAAGTAGCTTTAAGTTCAGGATGTGTCACATGTGCCTTCTTGAAACGTAAGCCCTGTTGCATAAGAAACATTAGAATGAGTTAATGTTTGCTTTAAGCCCTCGCAACTAGTCTAGTTTAACACTTTTACCATTACATCCTCAGCTTTATATGTTTTGAGAGACTGCAAAGAATGAAACCACTTAGAGTACAGAATGCTATCTGATTAATGATAAGATAAAGCTTTCCACCTATATTTTCATGATGTCAATTTTTAATAGTAGTACAAGAATAATACTTGCTACCTCAGATGGCTTCTGTTTCATGAAGAAATGAGGCATTTATAGTAATGCATTTAACAGTGCTACTGGTTTTTAAGACTAGAAGTTTTTCCTTTTTTCTTGTAAAACTGAAAAACCTCCCACATATTGTAAAATGCTAAATACCCATCTCTTATAGCGTTTTCTACCTAGCAACCTGTGATTCGTAAAGGGTATTAACTACTACAAGCTTTTGTGTTTCAATAAAAATCTATCCAAGGCTTCTGTGTAAGATGACTATCAAAATAGTAATGAGGTATGATCCAACAGGCAGCCTGCATAGTGATTCTGTTGATTCCTGTGAGGAAACAGGAACAGGCATTTATAGAAAAACTATACTGTCTTAGTGAATCTAGTTTTCCCTCCTGTGCACTGCCAGGCTACTACAGCCCAGGCGCTGTTCCTGCAGCTCTGTAGGAAAAGGTCAGGCTGGAGGCATAGCATCTCCCTTGCATACGGTCACCACTGTGCTTCAACCTTACTTGACAGAAGGAGGGAGTTCTAGAATCCCAGAACAGAACTGGCTTCTGCAGCTGACAGAATCATAGCAGCTTGAAAAACAAGCCTCCAACTTTAAAAGCTCTTCCAAGTGCCTTTGCTAAAGACCTTCCTGTGCTAATTTGACAGCTTGTAGCTTTAACTTACTGGTATCATCTGAGTTACAGGAGTAAGAGCAGAGACATTTCAACACAAGACTGTGACTGCAGAAGCATCTCCCCACCCTCAGGCTACTGAAGTTTAGATTTCTGCAAGGGAACTAACAGGAGTATTCTACATCAGTAGTAATCAAGTGCATTATCACAGAAGAAAGTTTCCGCACCACAGGAACTCAAAGCACTAAGTCAAAAGAATTATTACTTAAACAGTCTTTAAGGCTCAAGAACATTACCATTGGTCGAATGAATCGCTCGTATTTTGGAGGCTTCCGAGTAAAGCCATCTCCAACAAAACAAACTTTTGTAACCATTCTTTTCCAGGCCTTCTTCTTTCTCTTTCCTGTACGAATCACTTTTAAAACTTCTGTTTCTCCTTGTGCACGGACCTTTGGTACAGGGACCTCCCATTTCCCCTGGAAGAGGTGTCAGGGGGGAAAAGTCAATATTCTTACATGCTGCATTGCTCAATGAAAGAGGACAACGAAAGCATAAAATAAAATTTCCCTAAAGCATAGTGCTAGACCATACTTTTTATACAGCTCATAGCTACTTATTTTAATTAACATTTACAGTTACGAAAATCAAGATCAGCATATGCTGACTTTGTCCTAGATTGTTCTCAAAGTTTCAGCTTTTATATAGACTTTGCTTGTAGGCTGTAAGTCACCTGAACATCAGCCACACAAAGTGGTCATTGTCACAAGTAGTTGTATCTGAATTTTAATACAGTTACTTACAGCTTTTTCTTTTCTTTTCTGCTTGATCATGTTGGAGAGAACTTTAGCCCGGGACTGGCCCTCTCTGTCCAGCAGGTATGCTGGTACAGCTCCTTTAGGCGTTTTTTCGTCATTCTTTTTCTTTGTATTTCTCTTTTCATGCATTTTAATGCTGCAAGGAAAGAAAACCCAGTATTAAGAGTAGAAAAAAAAGGAAGGCTCATTTTTAGATATATCCTTTTAACTTAGCTTGTGCCTGCTCAAAATTTTCTTTTAAGAAGTATTTGTAAACAAGTACATATTTATATTTAAGGAATAATCTTCAGTAATTTTCAAGGTAAACCAGTAATTTCACTTAAAGTAACAACTGACAAACTGCATGGGGTATAAAAGCTTGTCAGTTCCTATCAAGACAGGACCACAAGACATGCATCTGATTAAAGAATTTCTGAATGACTTAAAACAAGCTGCCAAGCACTTTAAGAGATAGTAACCTTCCTTTCTGACAAAAAATAACATACTACTACTCTTCTGAGATTTGATGGCAATGCTTACAAATCTGAGGAACGTGTGTTTGTAAAAGGGGTCATGTTTTGTTAATTTTGAGGCCATTAAGGGGGGGGAAAAAAAAAAAGACCCACAAACCCAATACCTTTATGAGTAGCATAGGAAAATTACTCTACACTTGGAAAACAACAAAAACAACATGGTGGATAGATACTAAGTTCATTCGCAATACAGAATATTGTTAACAGCTTTGATTTCAATTTCTGAACAACAGAGAATATTTTTATAAAAATGTTTTTGTTTATCTATACTTGATACTGTAGTTTATCCTGGAAGACAAGCCTCATATTCTGCTCAAACACTGTGTACTTGATGATACTTTTTCTATTAACAGGGTTAAAAAAATGCCCTTGTCTCTTGCTACACTAATATAGCAGCTGATGTAAAAATCCTAAGCAGATGCATTCATATTTTTGTCATAATTACATTAGCCACTGCTATTGCTAATTAATACTTATCTTAGGGAATGCTTTTAGAAACAGAATTGTTAACATCCATTGAGAGGAGAGGAAATCAGAAACGTCTTCTCTGTGGCAAAACCCACTTTCTTGTACACCCTCAGAGCTACTGAAAAGCGTAAGGTACGATACAAGTAATAAGTAGTTCTTTGTACAGACATTAACATCTCATTTCATCCTTCAAATGTCAGAAGACGGCATCAGAGAAGCAGTGGGTACTCACGTCTTTTTCATCTGTATCTTCTCAGCATGCCGCTGCTTGTGGTAGAGCTTGGCCTTCAGCCCGATCATCTTCTTGGCCTTCCGGGACCGCTCGTGAGCCTCGCGGCCCTCCTTCTTCCTCCTCCTCTCGTGGTAGTCCAGGCGGTACCCATAGCGCTTGCGGTGCAACTCGATGTACTCGTTCTGCGGCTGTGGGCACAAGGCAGCGCGGTGAGCGGGTATCAGCGGCCGAGGACCGGGCGGCCGGG